CAACATGGGCTTCCATGTCTTTTACTTTTCCATCCAAGGCATCCTGTCTGGCTGAGAGACGATTTAGACGTGACACGAACCCAATGGCGAATTTGTTGCATTTTTTTTACAAAACCAATGCAGGCCCTGTGATGATTCATTGTCTGTTTCCTGTATTGCTGTGTAGAGAGAATCAGGTACACCTTCACAGGTTGTGTGGTGCCACATCTCACACATATCACACTTTAGTCCATGATCTTTCTTTCCCACCTCTTTATCACATTTACCACATGTCGCATCTTCTTTTTTGCTGTTCCTAGAATTTGGTTTGATGCGTTCGGTACTTGTAGTTGCAGGCCTACTCATTTTTACAGTTTCTTTTTCCTACTCTCGATATGAACAAAGAGATGCCACCGGCCCAAAAATTTCTAGTGGTAGTAGATTCCCTGTGCAGACACCACACAGTTACAATCACTATCACAGATTACCAAAAGTTCACTAAAGCCTCAGAAAAATTTCAAGGGTTCAAATCTCATTCTCACTCTAGCATCAGTCTACTCCTGTAACTTGGTGTTTAGTCTAAGCCACAGCTGGATCCACCCTAGGCACAATCACTACTGTTTATTACAATTAAGACCTATTGGGATTTTTGTGTCTCTAAACTAATAACTTGAGACCAGGTGACGGTGAAGTGAAGTCCAGTCTAGATCGACCAGCTCTACTAAAACTCAGCTCTAGTCCTACACATTAAAACTGGATCTTCTACAGTACAGGCCTAGAAGGCGACTGGAAAGAATTCTTCAGCACACTCCACATGAATATTTCTGAATATGATCCAGACACACAAAACTGCGCTCCCAGCGAAAACTCAAACGTTTAGAACCACGGAAGCCGCCATCTTAGTCTTCAAAATGACGCACGATTTTCGAAAGAGGCACAGGGCAATACCCACCAACTTTTATACAGAATGACATACAGCATATGTCTCTGTGGGTAGCACTAAACGTTTTTCCTTCTCCCACTGGCTCAAAACCTAATCTTTTGTCTTTGTGTTCCTTGACTGAATGGTGTCAAAAGCCACACGCAAGCACAAGCTTTCTCCCAACCGGAAGTCCCTAAAGTGTACATGGGTATCATTTCTCCATATCTCTCGTGTATTTTCAAATATGGAAAGAATTACAGTTCCTATATTGAAGTTCATTTCTGGTGAGTTTTGGTTATCTATGAAGATGAAGCCTGTGCACGTTCTATGCCAAGAGACAACCACACTGTCCAAGTGTTGGTAGTGTCAAATGAAAATGACAACTCCATTCGCCAGGCCACCAAGAAGATAGGTCTCACCGAACGCCAAGGCCGCGACAGCTGGCGTGAGATTTTTAAGTAAATTAGCTTCAAGGGCAACGTCTCGCACTCGCAAATTATGGAGATGGACTGGGCGGTAATGTGCAAAGGCTTAGCTATCTGCATGCTTCTGTGTCAACGCAGATCTTTGCATTATGCGCGTCACCGCGTCTGAACATGGAGCAGATAGAGCGCTGCTTCGTGCAGCCTGCCTGTGCACTGAGGTATCTTCCCGGTAGGTGCGCTGTGCACGGTGACGTGAAGCCAGCGAACGTTTTTCTGAGTGAATCCAACAGCGGAAAAGACATTGGGAAGCTGGGGTGTATTTGGAACGAAAGGCTACCTCGCTTCCGAGATCCAGTGTCAAATCTCCGTAGGTCCCTTTCTTTGTACTCCGTGATTTACTTTTTATTGAGGCTCTATTTCCTTTCTTTCTTTGTCTGTTTTGATTTTTGTTTGTTACTGATTGCTGCTATGCTCAAAGTTTATTCCTTTGTCTATTTGCCTTTTCTTCTCCCTGCGTGCTTAATGTATGTTTTTGTGCTGTGAGTACCATCTAAACATTTTTGACAAACGCTATTTTTTTTATCTGTGCAGACGGGCGTGTGCGCACTTGGGGCAACGCTGTAGTGTCTGGTCTTCAAACGTTTACCTGACGACTGGGAGGATCTTCAGCACTCTATGGAGTCCAACAGTACTTTGTGACCGTTCTTGGACTAGTAGCGCGGTATTTTTCGATTTCTTCAGCTCAGCCTTCTTAATTTATCAATGGATGGTGTACGCCTCCGGTGTAGTGGTTAGGTACTTTGCCGCCACTGGCAGGGGACCCGAATTCGATTCCCGAGTGGGGAGAAACTTTTCATAGAACATTTCCGTGTGTTGGGATGCTGAAAATCCCACTCTACCCAGGTTGGCCCTGACAGGCTAGGTTGAAAGCCCGCCTCGTCAGTACTCTAAATTGTGCCGATGGGTGCTTAAAACACCTACACTGAAATAGAAAACTGTGCAGAAAAAGTAAACTTCCCCTAAAGCGTGCAAGTACTTATCCCGCATATGAATACTACATGTACTAACATAAAATCTCCATCTTCCTGATGCAGTATCCCACACCCGTGTGTGTCGTTGGCATTGTTTAAACTGTATTTCTGTTCAACTGTTGCAACAGTAAAAATAATAGCGCCAGAAACGACAACAGCTCAGCCAAAGCAACAGTAGTAACAGCTGTCACAACATTAACAGCAGTACCAGCAGCAGTAGTCTTAGCAGCAGGAGCAGCAGTAGTAGCAGCAATGGTAGTAAGAGCAGCAGCAGCAGTTACAGAAGTAGTAGCAGTAGCAGCGGTAAAAGCAGTAGCAGCTGCTGCAGTTGTAGCAGCAACAAAGTATGCCCTAATGCTTGGGAAAAATTAAATGGTTGTTTGTTTTGTTTGATTGACGTCAAAAGAAGTACACTTTTGTAATTCACATTGACATAGTAACGACCGTTCAGTACAGAAAAGAGTAAGACAGACAGTTGAAACAATAGAAGGAAAGAGAAGAAGTACTCTGTACAAAGGACATACCAGAAGCTCCTTCCAACAATCCACTGGGGTACATTTTCTTAGAAAAAAGAATTTAAAGACTAGATCTAGCGTGCATTCAACAAAAACATAATATTATATGATATACGCATTTTTGGTGGTTTCACTGATGGGTTCGAATGAAAACTCATAGACTCGATTGTAAGGCTGCAAGGGGAAGAGCAGAGGGGCCAACCATACAATGTATAAGATAGAGGTTAGAAATTAATAGAAAGTGATTGAAGAGAGGAACAGTAGAACAACTACAACATTCCATTGACAAGGCTTGTTCTGCAAAGATCTCGTACTTAGAAATGGCGGAATCGTGGAAGATTACCACCACCGGTTAAAACACACTCAAAGAGTACAACGTACAGTGTTATGAGAGAAAAGGTGACTTTAATTCCGTTTTTTAATCTTATTGGTAACATTTTTATCTAAGTCAATTTGACAGTTGTTGGACAGACATGCAAATCTGTTATAAAGAAATCGATAAACAATCTAGTACTAATAGTAGCCGTGATACTAATAGAGAGAGATTGGGTACCAGAACTTTCAAAGAAGAATTGACACAAACGAATGAGGATGGTATTACACAATGTAGATCTAGATCTAGTATTTTTTAGTAGAAGGATGTTACTATAGTTACATAAAGAATAATTAAAGTAGAATAGTTTGTGTGTGTGTGTGTTTGTGTGTGTGTGTCTGTGTGTGT